TTAGATCTTATATAATCACAGCAATTTTAATATTATTTTATGAAACTATTGTGTCTTTTATCATTATTACTCACTTTATCGTGAATTTCATAATGAACGTGCTATAAAGTAATCATTATGTTAAATTAGCTGTAAATTATAGCACGTGTGCTTTAAAGTTTTGATTGGTTCCCGGATTTTCTCATAAAAAATTTGGATATTTCCAAAATATTGTTTTCTATGGAAATGGAAATGAAATTGAAATCAACTTTATATTTTGACTTCTGCTTTGTTTCCAAGCTTATTTGATCTAAAATAAAACAAGTAAACAAAAGTTTCATAAAATTACCTATAACACGATTATTTTGGCACGTCGTGCAATAAAGTTTTTGGACTTATTAGATTATATTTTGTCTCTTCTTGGGACAAAATTAAATTTTAAAAGGCTTGAACCTTCTCGACAAAGAGAAAATTTCTGTTCAAAAACTTTATAACACTGCGAACCAAAATAACAGTGTTATGAATAGTTATAAATATTATTTTAATATTTAGGCTGATTTAAAAGTAGGGAGAATATTATGGAAAGAAAATGAAACTACATATTGGAGCAGGTAAAGTTGCATAATTTAAAGGGACGGCTACCTATTTATTATACTTTAAAGGGACTGCTAACCGTAGTATTATACTTTAAAGGGACTGTTAACCGTATTCTGCAATTTAAGGGGACTGCTAACCGTATTATTATAATTTAAAGGGACTGCTACCTATTTATTATACTTTAAAGGGACTGCTAACCGAGTTGTTTATTTGAGAAATAAACACNTCTCACGAAATTATTATAGTTAAAAGGGACTTCTCTCAGAATTATCATATTTTAAAGAAAACGCCTTTCTATTGTATTTTATGAATAGTTAACTTTTTTATATTGACGATGAAAATGTCATATTTATTTTTATTCGGATAGCTTATTTTTATTATTCTGATTGTTGACGGGTTTTGCCATGCAAGGTTTACAAATTATGAATATTAATGTGAAAATGTTCAAAAATAATAAATTACCCCACCACGCCACCATTTCACAAATTAAACTTTCATGAAATATATTTAAAAAGTACAATTTGCTTCTATGTTGACTAATTTTACAGTAATTACAATGATGTTTATCAGCGTATATTAAAGGGACTGTATACAATGTTGTTTATTAGCGTATATTAAAGGGACTGTAAGCGCTATTTCAAGTTGGCCCTCCATGCAAAGATAGCATTTCCCGATTCACATTTGTTCCCCTTCAAACCTTAACCTGATATAAAAAAATCAAGAAAAAAATGACGTTTTTAAAACTCAAAAAGTGTTTATTTGTGTGAATTTCTTGCTTGTTTCTTATAAGCAAAAAATGCGCAAGTCACTCTTACAGCAAAACCACAAATGAAAATAAATAGTTTTTAAAGAAACAAAAACATGGATATCTAATTCATACTTGATCAGACAAAACTTTTAAGGTGACCGTTGTAAATTGGAATAGCCATCTTTGCATGGAGGGTCACTTGAAATTACTCTCACAGTCCCTTTAAATGAATGAATCCAAAAATTAACCCCAGGAATGTGTCAGCAACTTGTATTTTTACTGCTGAATTGATACATTTCAGTCATGACATGGCATTTTCATACTGAATACGGAAATATATACAAGTAAAGCTGAACGATACTAAACCCTGTTAAAGGACTGTACACTACATTTTAGAAAAATTCAAGAATCCGAAAAACATCAAGAAAACAATTTAGTTTTTCAAGAAGTCATACAAATATTTCTCTACAATAATAATTGCTTATTTTAAAACCGCGCTTCTGAGGTTAAGTTTTATCGGTGTGTGCTATATATGCATTATAAAGTTTCTGACTCTACTTATCAATTGTTTTTTTTTTTTTAATGCTGAAAAGGGGAGAAATTTATTTTTTTCCGCTTTTTATCTGCTCTGAAAATTAAGGTAGTATATTTAATTGTTATTTATATAACCTATCATCTTGTGGCATGACCCTCTAACCTAGCTGCGGAGGTCTGGGGGGTCCAAGTCGGGGTCCATTACATATCCCTTTCTTAATAATTATTATTTTGTTTAGAAGGAATGTGAGCTGCACAACTAAGAATGGTTCCTGTTCGATCAATCTCACACGTGCTGCTAAACTAAATAATGTAATTATAAATTAGTCAAATCCAACTAAAGAAACTAACTGAATTATGCTTTTTTTTTAAATATCACACAGAATGTCCTTTTTCAGCGCACGGCATAACCTATTTCATACGTTTCATATTTTTTTTTAAAACTTAAATTTTGCAATTGAGAAAAATTTTGCTCTTTTCAGGTTTTTTTAGTTTGAAAGTTTAATGCCAGAAAGTTGTTTATTACACGCTAAACACATTTTTAGGAAACTACGCATTGCAACGTAAATACAACCAGTATGGATTGTACAGTCAGGTAAAAATATTAATTTTTCTTCTGAAAAATGCGTTAAATGCGTGCAATTAAAAAGAATTAAACCCTTCACTCAAACTCATTGTTTTTTAATCATAAACAAACCTTTTTTTCAGCCTCTGTATTTATTTTGGATTTCAAGATTTTTCAATTCCATAAATTTGAATAATTTGAATTTGGATAAAATTATAAATGAAGAAGTACGTTGTACAACAAATGCGACTTTTAAATAACAATTTTTACAAATAAATTTCTTTTGAATATGTATACTGTATTTCATTGAATGAATAGGAATAATAATACTGAACAGAGACACTGTACAATTACATATCAAGGGAGTGGTCCTCCCAGTAGAACCAGGAGTACTCTATAATAAACTGTAAATATCTAGGAAGCGGTTTACTGAAGTATAGAAGGATATATCTTTAGGTAGGAGTTGTCCTAGTCCTCCCAGTAGAACCAGGAGTACTCTATATAAACTGTACATATCAAGGGAGTGGTTTACTGAAGTACAGTAGGATAGATCTATAGGTTGGAGTTGTCCTAGTCCTCAAAGTAGAACCAGGAGTACTCTATAATGAACTGTAAATATCTAGGAAGCGGTTTACTGAAGTACAGTAGGATAGATCTATAGGTAGGAGTTGTCCTAGTCCTCCCAGTAGAACCAGGAGTACTCTATAATAAACTGTACATATCTAGGAAGCGGTTTACTGAAGTATAGAAGGATATATTTTAGGTAGGAGTTGTCCTAGTCCTCCCAGTAGAACCAGGAGTACTCTATAATAAACTGTACATATCTAGGAAGCAGTTTACTGAAGTATTGAAGGATATATCTTTAGGTAGGAGTTGTACTAGTCCTCCTAGTAGAACCAGGAGTACTGTATAATAAACGTACATATCTAGGGAGTGGTTTACTGAAGTATAGAAGTATATATCTATAGGTAGGAGTTGTCCTAGTCCTCCTAGTAGAACCAGGAGTACTCCATAATACAGTGTAAATGTCTAAGGAGTGGTAGAATTGGGAGTACTCCATAATACACTGTTCATGTCTAGGGAGTGGTTTACTGAAGTACAGAAGGATAGATCTAGTAGGAGTTGTCCTAGTACTCCCAGTAGAACCAGGAGTCAGCAACCAATCTTTCAGTTCTCATTCTTCAATCCAACTACACAGGTTAACAAAATATTTAACAGTTACCAAAGGAAAAATTTGATATCAAAAGGCAAGTTTTTCATCATTTCTTTTTATACTTTTATACTTTTTAATTAAATTTTTTTTCTTTAAAAATCATTAAAAAAAACAATTAAAAAAACAAACCTAACTTCGGGGGTAATGATTTAAATAAATATACACTCCTGTCAGCAGTAAAAAACTTTTTTTAAATGTAAAAATGTAGTAAATACTATTATTATTAATATTATTATTATTATCATTATTATTACTATTATTATCATTATTATCAACTTGACATCAACAACAAAAACGAAATTAATTATTGATTCTCCTGAAAATGTTGGTTGAAATTGTTGTCTTTAGAACTGGACGGAGTGTGGTAAGGGTAGAGCAGGAGCAGGAAAAAGCTTTGAAAATATTTCAAACATTCTCTGTGATGTTCAAGGATTTGAACCAAAGGTTAGTTTTCCTCAGACCAAATTTAATGAATAAGAAAAGGTCGCTGAACTACCTACCGCTTTTAATTCACGGATTCAAAGTGAAAGATTCATGAAGATTTGAACCGGATGTTGATAGTTCAGCGACCTTTCCCATTTAATAATTCGGTCCCTAAGTATCTATAAATTTTTTTCATTTGTACAGGGTTATCCACAAAGGATGAGACTTTAAAGACGACCTGAAACTTCAATCTCTGAAGATTATTTGCCTTGAATATATTCTTTAAAACTGTTTATTGTTAAAAATTTGTTTCAGGAATCTGATAATATCATTATTCGGCTCAGGAATCCACAATTATCTAATTTAGTATTAAATGAACCCGATATAAGTTTTGAGAATCATTAAAATAAATATTTGAGAGAAGGGAGGGAGGGGGGGATTTAAAAACATAATAAAGGCTTTAATGTAATTAATGATACTGATTATTTCAATTTTGATTTCTCTACAAAAGTGATTATCAGAAATAAGCAAATTATAAACATAGAAAAACGACAATTTCTTCCATATTTTTGATCTAAATAAAATGAAGATTTCAAGGGTACCGTTGTGAATCGGACATGGCCATCTTTAAATAGACGGTCACTTAAAATCAAACTACAGTCCCTTTTATAAGCAAATTAACTGCTCCTTCCTAATTGCACATCAATACAAAATAATTTGAATGAGCGTGCGCCCAGGAAAATGTTCATGTCGACTAAAATATTACGCTTGGGCGAAGTTGATTGTCAGGACGAAACTTTTCTAGCAATCACAGGTTAGATCTTATATAATCACAGCAATCACAGGTTAGATCTTATATAATCACAGCAATCACAGGTTAGATCTTATATAATCACAGCAATCACAGGTTAGATCTTATTTAATCAAAGCAATCACAGGTTAGATCTTATATAAGTTCTGCTAATACGAAAATTGAGCAGTATTTTGTCAATTACTTCTTTTAAAGTTGAGCTAGAAACAAGCTCGTTTTATTCTAATAATATATATGTCTAGGGCTACTAAAATGTTGTGAGGTAAATCAAAGTCCAAGGCGTTACGACGATTTAAAGTCGAGGCTGTATAAACATTTGATGAGTAATTTTTAGGGTTGTCTAGATCTCTGTGACCCCCCCCCCCCCAAAATTCAGTAGGTTCAGATTTCATTTCCATTTTTAGACAAGCAACTCAAGTAAATCTTCATTTAAAAAAATTGATTTTCGTCAAAGTAGTTTTTTCAGGAGATTTTTTTGAAGTGAGTGGGAATAATTCTCTTAGTTATGGAAGCACTGCAGTTATAATTATAGTCTCAACAGGTTAACAATAAAAAAATATATTTTTACTTTTTTTATTGATTTTTATCATTTTCAATTCTCAGTGAGCTATTCAGAAGGACCCATTGACCTAGTAGCTCCTCCAGTATGAGAAAGGAACTTTATCCGGTTGCTTTTAGTAATTAAAACATTTTTTCTTCATCTCAATAGCTCATTAAGAAGAGGAGTTGTGATTAAAACATTTTAGATTTACTTTAGCTTGATGTGAAATGATCTGTTATCAAATGTTCTATTAATCTGCCAGAGAAATATTTATCACACTTTTACTCTTTTCTTGTTTTCAACGTCAAAAAACGAAAATAGTTTTGTAGAATTTAAGAATTTACTTTATTTAAGGATTTCTACTTCTCTTAATCTTTTGTTGTCTGAAGCAGTTGAAACTGAGGAGAAATTTGGAGTTAGAGACATCGCCGGGAAAAAGGTTCTTTATATTCTTTTTTTTCTTTGAAGTAATAAACTTTTTTTTTTATGTTACTAGGCTTCCAATTTTAACTTTTAATTGTTGTTTTTTTATCGATTTTTTTCGTGGATTTTGATATTTGAGACTTTTTCAAGACAAATTTTTTCAATTCTAACCATCCATAAATCTTTCCTGGGATCATATGAGGTCCCACAAAAAAGTTGGTCCCAATCGGTTGAGCCGTTTTGACGTTTATCGGTTATGAACAAGCAGACAAACAGACAAGCAAAGTATTATATATTTATAGATAGAGTTGAAATAAATAAAATATGCTTCTTAGTTTTTTTCGTAATTTTTCTGCATTGTAAAAACTAAATTCACCCTTTTATCTTTTTAAAGGTTTTCTAGTCCCAATAGTTTTTGCCAATATTACCACTTTTTGTTCATGAAAAGCTTTATTTTGTATTTCTTCTTATTACCTCTAAACACAATTCTTGTCGTAAAATCATTTATTTTATTAAAGAAGTTAATTTAATTAATGATTTTATATAGTGTTACTTTACTGAACCATGAAGACCAGGAGACAAGTTTTACCCCACTTAGCATCCCAGGTAAAAGAACGAAAGAGCAGGTTATGAGAGAGACAGTGCAGGTTATGAGAGAGACTGTGCAGGTTATGAGAGAGACTGAGCAGGTTATGAGAGAGACTGAGCAGGTTATGAGAGAGACTGAGCAGGTTATGAGAGAGACTGAGCAGGTTGTGAGAGAGACTGAGCAGGTTATGAGAGAGACTGAACAAGTTATGAGAGAGACTGAACAGGTTATGAGAGAGACTGACCAGGTTATGAGAGAGACTGGAGAGAATATTGATATATCCAATCCTAGAGTGGAAACTAGTATACAGGTATAGGATATTAGCAAACCTAGATATCCCCAGTCCTGACTATCCAGGAAAGAATTTTGATATATCCAGTCCTAGAGTGGATACGCTACATGTATAGGATATTAGCAAACCTAGATATCCCAGTCCTGACAATCCATGGAGAGAATATTGATATATCCAATCCTAGAGTGGAAACTAGTTTACTAGTATAATATATTATTAAACCTAGATATCCCCATGTCCTGACAATCCATGGAGAGAATATTGATATATCCAGTCCTTCAGTGGATACACTACAGGTATAGGATATTAGTAAACCTAGATATCACCAGTCCTGACAATTCTGGAGAGAATATTGATATATCCAGTCCTAGAGTGGATACAATACAGGTATAGGATATTAGTAAACCTAGATATCCCCAGTCCTGACAATCCATGGAGAGAATATTGATATATCCAGTCCTAGAGTGGATACATAGGATATTTTGATATATACAGTCCTAGAGTGGATACAATACAGGTATAAGATATTAGTAAACATAGATATCCCCAGTCCTGACAATCCATGGAGAGGATATTGATATATCCAGTCCTAGAGTGGAAGCACTACAGGTATAGGATATTTATAAACCAAGATACAAGTATATAGTGTAGGAACAGGGTGTCTACAACAAAATTACAAAACCGAAAACATATTGGTGGTTATCGGGATTTCCAAAAAACTTCTCTTTAAAAATTTAACCAAGAACATGATAGAAAGTTGAAGCACAGGAAAAAACATTTGAAAACAAGACTGTAGTTCAGAAAATGAAGTACAACAAGAACTGTGACAGGGTGTGTGCAGGCGTGTGAGCACCCTGTTTAATGACAGGGTGTGTGCAGACGTGTGAGCACCCTGTTTAATGACAGGGTGTGTGCAGGCGTGTGAGCACCCTGTTTAATGACAGGGTGTGTGCAGGCGTGTGAGCACCCTGTTTAATTGCTTTGACCATCATCTATTTAATTTATACAATTGTTAAAAACTAAAATAAAAAATAAAAATGTTAAAAATTATGCTCAGTATAATCAAAGCAATTTTAAGAGTGCAGAGAATATAATTTTGATATAAATTAAACATTTTATGAGCCAAAAATTATGAATGTTTTAAACAGTCTTCAACCCGATGCCCATATTCTAATTAGNAATTTTGATATAAATTAAACATTTTACGAGCCAAAAATTATGAATGTTTTAAACAGTCTTCAACCCAATGCCCTTTTTCTAATTAGATGTTTTGAAGGATGTGAACGAGGAGAAAAATATTTTTGAATTGATGAGCAGAAATCTGGATGGAAACTTATGGTTAGTAAATCTATCCTTACATTAAAAATATGGAAATTTTAGAAGTGAGAAAGCTTACCGATTTTCCTTGAACCACCGCTTATTCAGCGCGTTTTAATCGCTTCCATGGCGAGTTTTTGTATCTGAACTTTTCACATCCAAAATAACGTTAAAAAGGCTGCCATTTCTCTCACCAAATTGATGAATATGATATTTCCTCATATTGGCGTTTTTTTGTCATTAAAAGACTTGTAACCTGTGATACAAATTCATGTTCGATATCTACTTTGTACTTAAATCTTTTTATACGTAATATGATTCTATTTCAAGTGGAAACATAAGGAATGGATTAAAAGCATAAAAAATAAGAATTGCAATTGAATAATAGTGGTGTTTGTCCCAAACCGCAATTTGGTCCAATGGAATTGAGTCTTTGCCACAAATACCAATTTTCTAATACCTATATATCTACAACCAAATGTTGTAAACCTTTGATATTTTAAACTTAGATTGTTTGTTATAACAGAATTCATAGTTTGAAATGTCTAAGGTCTACAACATTCGGTTTCAAAGATAAAGAGATTAGAAAATCATATGTTTTTACACTTGATGCAAATTTGGGCCAAATTAACAAAGTTAACCAGTCATATCCCAGGTCCGGTTTGAGAATAATACCCAATGAAATATCCTTTTTTATTTATTAATATGACTTGTAAAGTTGAAATAAAATTCCCTATAATTAGAAAATCTAATTTTAGTAGATTTAATCCTGATCTGACGCTGAACGCACAAATCCAAGTTTTGGAGTACAAAAGAAATATTTTTGAGATTTCAAGAGAAAGATTTGATCCTGGCATGATTATAGGTAATTCAAAAATATCCATTAAGAAATGCCAATTTAGAGAAATTGTACAGAGACAATCAGAGCAGTGGAATTGTACAGAGACAACCAGAGCAGTATTATTGTACAGAGACAACCAGAGCAGTGGAAATGTACAGAGACAACCAGAGCAGTGGAATTGTCGTAGTGTCTCATTTAACTCCCCTGTAACTTCGACCCCATGCAGAAGTCCTGCCAAAAAATTAAAAAAATAAATATGTATTTTCCGCCAAACATTATGCTGTCTGTAAAATTTCAGGCAAATCGTATGGACGTATTGTCAAAAAATTGTTCCTTTTATTTTATCATAACCCTATATCCTTTTCTTATGAAGGACTTTGTAACTCTCACTGAACTATCTCTAAAAAAAAGTGGCCTGAGCTGGGAACTTCAGAATAATGGATATCGAGATCAATGCTTTGATCCTCTCTTTTTCAACCATTCGAAGTGGGATAATATACAGAGACGGGAGGGACTCTCTAATTTTGGTAAACTGGTTTTTGATTTTTCTGTAATATTATCCAAAAAAGCAAGAATCTAAAACTGGATATTAGGATTAAGCAGTCGGGATTAAAGGTATCCCATTCTGTTCCCAGCTCTGAACATTTTTAGAGATATAACAGTTACAACAATTAAAAATGAATAAATCCCTAAGATAAAAGAAAAGCAAAGATTTTTTCCCATATTTCATCGTAAACTTTTTTTTTATTCTGATGTTTTATAACTGAATTCAGTTAAATATTTTTGGTAACGTTTTTCTTATATATTTTTTATTCTGTTTTTATAAACAGGGCAGGGACAGTTTGGAACAGTTGGGTTGGGAACTTTAATTACAGATTCAGGGAGAAGAGAAAAGGTATTTTTTCTCTTTTTTTCATTTATTCTTGGATTCATCCTTCATCTCTTTTTTCATTTATTCTTTCATTCATCCTTTATCTCTTTTTTCATTTATTCTTTCATTCATCCTTCATCTCTTTTCTCATTTGTTCTTTCATTCATCCTTCTTCTCTTTTTTCATTTATTCTTTCATTCATCCTTTATCTCTTTTTTAATTTATTCTTTAATTCATCATCCTTCATCTGTTTTTCCCTTTATTCTTTCATTCATCCTGCATCTCTTTTTTTTATCTTGTCACTTATGCTTAGACTATACTTGTCTGCGTTTTACTTATCAACAATTTAATTTTTTTAAACATGTCAATTGTGACATAAAAAAAATTTTCTGACCATTTATCTATATTATTTTTACACGTGCTAATATGCTATATTTTTCAAGTTTTTCACTTTTCTGTATTCTTTTTTCTGAACTGCCTTTTTTCCTATTTAACGATGTTTTTTTTTGATTGTTTTTTTCATTCATTCTTCTCTTTTTAAACTTTCTATTTTTCGTGTTTTTAATTAAATAAGTAATTTTGACTTATCATCATTATGTAGGTTGCTGTGAAGCAAGCTAAAAACCACGGGGATAGATCTCAGTGGCTATCAATAATAGGAAATAATACAATTTAAACTCTAAACAAAGGAACTGTTTTTAATATTAAGCAAGAAAAACGTCGGAAAATATTATGTCAACCCGATTTTCTCAAATGGTATTTTAACAAATTTTAAGATCCACTATACTAATGTGGTTTCAAAAATTTTTTTTACACAAATATTGGACAGAAATAAACATAACACTTATTAAATATTCATACAATCTCCAACTTGTAAAATTCGCAAACAACCCTTTAAATTAAAAATTTAAATTGTGTTTTTGTTCAGACGAGCTGAAGATATTATCTCAATTGGAACGAAATTATTCTTTGGTTAATCTAGTGGGAGCTAACACTCTAGATTTTCAAAGGTAGATATTCTAGACATGTCCACTGGGGCCTGTGCAATTTCAAAAATTGACCAAGATTGCTTCGAAACGTGTAATAAGGTGTATGCCGCCTATCCTTTGTAAGTCGGGTTGGCATAAAAATATACATGCAATATTAATGCTCTGCTTGTAAAATGGAGACTAGCTGAAAAGGTCAAAGTTGCCCGTGAAATTTCAAAAAAAGTTCAACAATCGGCATAAAACGACCTTCTATGTCGAAAAGGTTAATCTGATGGATTCTGTCTTATCCAGGGGACAATTACATATTACTCATTACATTTTTTTACATCTTATACAGTCGGTGGCTTTCCTTTTTATTAAGATTGGCCTGCAATTTTAGTATGGGTAAACTATACTTACTCCTGGAGTACTGCTATATATATATAAGATTGACATGATATGTTTAGTATGGGTAAACTATACCTACTCCTGGAGTACTGCTATATATATATATAAGATTGACATGATATGTTTAGCATGGGTAAACTGTACCTATACTCCTGGAGTACTGCTTTATATATATAAGATTGACATGATATGTTTAGTATGGGTAAACTATACCTACTCCTGGATACTGCTATATATATATAAGATTGACATGATATGTTTAGCATGGGTAAACTGTACCTACTCCTGGAGTACTGCCCACATGGAGATATGAAAACATTCCTAGGAAAGAACAGGCGCAACTTCTCGCCTTCTCCAATTTCGACCCCAGGTGGGTGTCCACGGCCCTGGTCGTGTAAAGTTTGGAAATGTTAAGATTTGGTGGAATTCTGTCGCGTTTTTCTTTTAACTTTTGTCTTTTGTTTTCATGATCTCTTGATCTGTTTTTCATTTCACAGTTATAATCCCCATTCACATTTATAATTCCATTTCATATTTATAATCACATTTCACATTTATAATAACATTTCACATTTATAATAACATTTCATATTTATAATCCCATTTCATATTTATAATAACATTTCGCATTTATAATCCCATTTCATATTTATAATCCCATTTCACATTTATAATAACATTTCACATTTATAATCCAATTTCACATTTATAATCCCGTTTCATATTTATAATCCCATTTCATATTTATAATAACATTTCACATTTAAATCCCATTTCACATTTATAATCCCATTTCACATTTAAAATCATTGCCAAAAGCTAAAAATATATTTAAATCCCTTTATCTTCGCAGCCTGGCATATTTTGGGTTGCTAGATATTAGGATTAGGAACTCAGAGTTTGTGACAAAGGCTCTATTACTTTGGATTGATAGAATCAAAATATGTATTCCTCTTCCTATAAAACTTTTAAAAGAATTTGTTTTGTTGGGATTGTTTATACTGAACTGTGCGGAGGTTGGATTTAACTTAATTCAAGGAATATTTGATCTAGGTACAGATAGTTAAATTTGATCTAGGTACGGATAGTTAAATTTGATCTAGGTACGGATAGTTAAATTTTATCTAGGTACGGATAGTTAAATTTGATCTAGGGTACGGATAGTTAAATTTGATCTAGGTACAGATTAGTTAAATATGATGTAGGTACGGATAGTTAAATTTGATCTATGGTATGGATTGTTAAATTTGATCTATGGTACGGATAGTTAAATTGCTTTTCTCATGTGGTAGTGATCTCACCCATCTAAATTTTGACCAGAAATCCTACTTTAGTACTATTATTGTTTACTGTACATTGTTATACACTACGTACACTGTACAGGGCGGGTTGAGAATGAGTTTAACATGAGCCTCCTGTTTACCTGGTCCTACTCTATTGCACACGGGATGAACTATCTGGCATCAAAGTAAGTAAATCAAAATTAAAATATAAAATACTGATTACTGACCCCTTGCCTTGTCCTTGCCACAAATTATAATTTTCTAATTCCTATAGCTATGCAACCTGAGCTGAAAACTTTAGAATGTGATATCCTTAATCCCCATAGAGATCACATTCATGAGGACAACAAGTAATATTTAATCTGCAGATTAAGAAAAAGAGTAGATCAAGCATTAATCCCAATATCCACAATTCTAAAGTTCCCAGCTCTGATGTCGGAGGCATTTGATATTTCAAACTATCAATTCTGGTAGTTTCAAAAGTCTAAGTTTGAAATATAAAATATTTAAACCAGGTTGCTAATTTATAGGTATAAGAATTGTTCTGATTCAGTTCCATTACACATCCTATTGTTGTAATAAATAAATAATTATAAGGAAATAAATTTTTTTTCTTTTCTGAAATTTCCATTTGAAATGAACGCTTCATGCTGAAGATTATTATTTACAAAATCCAAGAAACAATGTCGAAGCTGTTTTTTCCTTAATCTTAAAATTGACCATTTTTCTCGGCTTGAAAATTTCTCCAGCTGAGAGAATCGCTTCTTGCATTCTGAAAGAGTCATTTTTGATTTGCTCATTTATTGAATAATGTTAAACTTATTTAATTTAGAAAAATAATGCACGGTGATCTAGCGGCTAGAAATATTCTTATTGGAGCAGGATACGAGGCAAAAATTAGGAAACAAAATAAATCAACTATTTGTTTTTATGATTATTTATAATTAAAGTTTATGATTTCTTTTTAGAAAGAAATCATAAACTTTAAAATCAAAACACCATTGAATACACAGGGGTTGAGCTATAGAATTACGTATTGCAATTTGAAAATTTGAATGAATTTTTTCATTTGCATCTAAAATTTTGTTCAATACTCTACCACTTGAGCCCACACTGAATTCTACTATCAAAATTTGTGCATTACTTCCTAAAACATAATACTTAAACCTTCTGATAAGAAATGTTGGCTTCATGTAAAAGCGGCGTAAATTTCATATTAAATCAACCATTATTATTCTTGAAATAAATTTCAAATTATTGAAGCAACAAATTGATTATGCTAATCAAAATTGAAAAGCTTCAAGTACATAGCACCGCTTGATTCATTAAGTTAACATCAGCATGGTGTTTATTGATTAAAACTTTGCTTTTAAATAATAATCCCCATTTTCACAAAATTTACTGCCTTTTAAACAGCCAGTTTATTTCTTGCATTTTCTAGTCTAATTTTATAACCTCGATGCTTGCTCTTCATCAGATTTAAATCTAATTCACTAAAAAAAGACTGTCATTGTTATTCAATTTTGAAAATTGTAAAAAAGGATTCAAAAGAATTCATAATTTCAATCAAAGCTCTTCCAATTAAATTTCATTTTGTAGAAAAGAGAACTTTAAATTTTACTATTCATAAAGCAATTCTATAAGAAATTTAACCATGTAAAATGTCGTGCATGAAAAACTTGAAGAATTAATTAAAGCAAACCTTTAATAAAAAGTTTTTGTGCATAGTTCTTTTATCTTTTTGAACAGGTTTAATGGGAAGGTTGGCATTTAAAAAAAAAACATAAAACCATAATTTCATCAGATGATTTTTAGATTTTTGTTGGTACACCACGAAATATACTTTCTCAGATTAAGAGAAAGATTAAAAAATGTTAAAATAACCGTTTTATAGCAAATTCTTCGAATAAAGGGTCACTTGGAATTTCGTTTACAATCTCTTTATCTTTTTCATTATATTGATTGTTTTTTCCTTGTTCAGTGATTTTGGTTTGTCTAAAATGATGTACTACAATGAAGGTATCATTTAATATTTGTAGTTTTTCCTTTTTTAAAATAAATTTCAATATTTGATAAACATAGAAAAATAAAATAAGCTCACAGTCTCAATAAGATTATTGCACTTACAAGCTCAAGTCTATGACTTTACTTCAGTATCAACCTGATTATGTACCTTTGATAATTAAATCTTTGAAATAACCCCCCGAAAACTTATAGTTTGAAATATCAAAGGTATTTAAGATATTTGAATTAGAAAACTATATAGTTTGAAATATTAAAGGTATTTAAGATATTAGAATTAGAAAACTATATAGTTTGAAATATCAAAGGTATTTAAGATATTAGAATTAGAAAACTATATAGTTTGAAATATTAAAGGTATTTAAGATATTAGAATTAGAAAACTATATAGTTTGAAATATCAAAGGTATTTAAGATATTAGAATTAGAAAACTATATAGTTTGAAATATTAAAGGTATTTAAGATATTAGAATTATAAAACTATAGTTTGAAATATTAAAGGTATTTAAGATATTAGAATTAGAAAACTGTATAGTTTGAAATATTAAAGGTATTTAAGATATTAGAATTAGAAAACTATATAAATTGTAATATTAAAGGTATTTAAGATATTAGAATTAGAGAACTATAGTTGCTTATTTTCAATTGAACCTCTCCACGCAATGATAGCAATGCCAGATTCACAAAGTTATCCCACAAACCATTATCTGATCAATAATGTAAAGGATATTGAACCTTATCTAACTTTTACAGTGTTCAATTCTTATAAATCCTTTATTTTTCCTGCAGTAGAAATGTAGTCACTTTTGAGGGGCGGCTTTTGATTTTTTCTAGAGGGGGGGAAATAATTATAGTATCTAGCGCATAGCGCGCCGAAATTTTTTACCCTCCCCCTGGATTTTTTTGCAGGGAATCTATTCAATTTTATGCCCAAACCATGACCACCTGGGGGTGGAAGGTGGAAAATGTGTAATTGATTTAGATTTTTATAAAAAAAATCTTTATTTAGAGTGAATAAGTGGCGCCGCAGGGAAATTTTTTTTATTTATTTTTAAAAATCAAAATTTAAAGGCTAGAAGGTGCTTGGTCTTCCTTTCTGTGTTCTTAATTTTTCCACGAGGGGGGGGGGGCAACATCCTCCTAGTTTTCCAGGGCTGGGGACGTACCCCCCTCCCATAAGCCGCCTTTGTCCCCATTTGAATATTATAAGTTTTCAATCCTGTAAACTTTGATATCTAATTCTTTCTTGATCATGCAAAGGTTTCAAGGGTACCTTTGTGAATGGGTCATTGCCATCTTTGCATGAAGGGTCACTTGAAAATACGCTTACAGTCCCTTTTATTCGTTTAAAATTTATTTTATTCTATTTATTGTTAGATTACAAGAAGACCGAGAGGAAAATGATTCCTTGGGCCTAACATTGACTATTACTTTAGAATTTAGAATCATTTAGAATATGTTGAATATGTTGCAAATAGAGTAACCCCTGCTATTCAGGGCCTGAATATATGTTCAGGGGTAATTACCCCTAGAATTCTAGGGGGGGTATTTACCCCCAGGATTCTAGGGGGGGGTAAATAACCCCAATAACCCCCCCCTATGTCCGCCACTGCCGAAACCCATTAATGTATTAATTCTTAAATTCCTTTTGGTTTAGGTCTTTTCTAAATAAAAATGTAATGTATTTATCAAAATATTTGATACCAGCATTTACTTGAATGAAACATACATAAACCCGATCAATAGATTTAATGGGATATTTTGGGGAGAACTGGATCAATGTAATTACTAGGATAATATTTTGGGAAGAACTTGATCATTGTATTTAATAGGATAATATTTTGGGAAGAACTTGATCAATGTATTTAATATAGGATAATATTTCGGGGAGAACTTGATCAATGTATTTAATAGGATAATATTTCGGGGAGAACTGGATCAATGTATTTAATAGGATAATATCTCTGGGAGAACATGATCAATGTATTTACTAGAATAATATTTTGGGAAGAACTTGATCAATGTATTTAATAGGATAATATTTTGGGGAGAACTGGATCAATGTATTTAATAGGATAATATTTTGGGGAGATCATGATCAATGTATTTAATAGGATAATATTTTGGGAAGAACTTGATCAATGTATTTAATAGGATAATATTTCGGGGAGAACTTGATCAATGTATTTAATAGGATAATATTTTGGGAAGAACTTGATCAATGTATTTAATAGGATAATATTTTGGGGAGAACTGGATCAATGTATTTAATAGGATAATATCTCTGGGAGAACTTGATCAATGTATTTACTAGGATAATATTTTGGGAAGAACTGGATCAATGTATTTACTAGGATAATATTTTGGGAAGAACTTGATCAATGTATTTAATAGGATAATAACTCTGGGAGAACTGGATCAATGTATTTAATAGGATAATATTTTGGGAAGAACTTGATCAATGTAATTACTAGGATAATATTTTGGGGAGAACTGGATCAATGTATTTAATAGGATAATATCTATGGGAGAACTGGATCAATGTATTTAATAGGATAATATTTTGGGAAGAACTTGATCAATGTAATTAGTAGGATAATATTTTGGGGAGAACTGGATCAATGTATTTAATAGGATAATATTTCGGGGAGAACTTGATCAATGTATTTACTAAAAGACAAGTCCATGGCGAAACCGATAAATTTTTTGTGATAATTTTCTAGAATGGAGATTTCAACCTGAAATCAGATGTTTGGAGCTTTGGAGTTACTCTCTGGGAGATGTTTACTCTCGGAGAAATACCTTACTCGTCGCTGGATTATGAAACGGCCAAGGTACAGTGGTCCCCAAAATATAACGGCATGCAAGTTTGGCTGCTAAACAGCGCGATTTATATTTTGCATTACCAGATGCTTTTAAACCCATCTAGCTTTATTTAGCTTCAAAGTGTTAAAATGTTTTATATACATTTTTTAAAAGATTTTTTTCTGAAAATTATCATTTTTAACAGAAATTATACTTTCAAATTTTTCAGGTTATCGATTTATCCATTTTTTAAATCTAAAACAATTAAAGGGAGTGTAATCGTATATTTCAAGTGACTATCCATGTATGCAGTGAGGCCTGCAATGTACTTCGATATGTCCTGAAACGCGTTGTCTGATCAAATATGAATTGGATGTCTTTTTTATTATTTTTGGTTTCTCTGCAAAAATGACTTGCTCATTTCTTGCTTATAAGAAAAAAAGGAGAAAATATCAGAATTAAACGCTTTTCGAATCAAATTTCAAGAGTATTTGTGGAAAATATGACATTGCCATTCTGAATAAAGGGTCACTAGTAAGTTTAAATTGTAAAATAAATATAAAATTTAGATTGTAAAATAAAAAAATGTTTAGGTTAAGATAGTTGAAGGGATGAGACTTGGATGTCCTGAAATCCTGAAGGAGAACAATCAACTCTTTTATGACAAGGTAAATATTCTTTGTTTTTGAATCTTTGCCTCAAACTCATATATATATTACACCAAGGTATACAACATTAGGTTGCGAAGATAAATGAAATAGAAACTTAGGTTGTAGCAAAGACTCAATTACTTGCAAACATTTAAAAACGTGTCTTTTTGTTATACTCATTGTCTTTTCTCATTATTTCACTCATGTACTTCTTCACAATTCAGAGTTAAATAAATCTTATTTCCTTGATTTCAATTTTTAACTATCTTCATAATTAACAGACATATATCTTCTTTTTTAAAGTCTGAAAGGGGCTGTTCAAACGTAATTTCAAGTCCCCCCCCCCCCATTCTCATCCTTAAAGGGAGTGTTCGCGAAAAATGAAAGGGGGTATAGGCTTAATGCGATAAAAAAGCGCTTTTGATCGCTACTAATCTTACTTCTATCTGTTGCGTCTAATGGGTAACTCTGTATATCTAAATTTATAGGTTATGCATCCTTGCTGGGAAGGAGAAGGAGGGAATCGTCCAACCTTCTCCAAGTTAGAGTCTATATTAGGAGAATATCTAGGAGAAGAAGGAATAAAAAAGTTCAAAGTAAGATTTAAATACCATCCTGTAAGGTACTATCAACTTAATTTCAATTGAACTTCCATTAATAAAGAGGCACATCCGATTCACAACAATACCTTGTCTGATAAAGTATGAATTAGATATCTATTTTTTATTTTAAAATTAACTAAAATTTGTCAGAAAAGTCCGAAAATCAACCTTATCTTTAACCACATTACTGATCAATTTAAGGTTTTAAGAGACCGTCTTTATTTTATTAAAACAAACAAAAAACTAAGTTTATTAGTATTTTAATTTTTTGCTTTATTAAGAACAATGTCATGATTTATTTTATTATGAAAATGGTTAGATACCAATGTTGGGTATTTAGTAATATAGCTTTCGGGCAAATTTCTTCAAAGAAACTGAGTTTTTGCCCAATTTTCAAATTTTCTAATTCCTTTTTCATTGCAACTTTGATATTTTAAACTTAGATTAATATTTCAAATATAATTCATAGTTTGAAATATCAAAGGTCTGCGCCCTCGTTAGACAGTAGATACTTATAAATGTAGTAATGTGGTTGGAAAAAAATATTATTTACAAACTAATTTTTATTTTTAGGATGAAGAACAGAAATATCTCAGAAATTCCAGCCCAAAACCTAATAGTAAGTAATTCAGCCGTTTGTAACAGTAAGAAAAAAGTCCTATATAAATCGTTATTAATACAAAGTAATTCATCTTAGACTTTTGTAACAATAAGAATTAAGTCCTATGTTAATCTTCATTTTTAAAAATAATTCATCACAGGCTTTTGTAACAATAAGAATTGAATCCTATATTAATCTTCATTTTTAAAAATAGTTCATCATAGGCTTTTGTAACAATAAGAATTGAGTCCTATATTAATCTTCATTTATGAAAAATAATTAATCCGAGCCTTAAATAATTTCAACCCCGTCAACAAAAAAGAAACTAATCCAATATAAAATTCATCCTTACCAAAATTAAGCATTAAACCTAGCTTATAGCCTCAGTAACATAACAGTAATTCTCAAGATTTATCTTCTTTATCTAATTCATCCTGGCCAATTGATTATTTATTCTTCCTCATTTTGAAATGTTAGAAAAGTAAATAGAAAGAAAAAGTATTTGATATCCTTATATATTGTTAACAAGTGGGATAAAATGGATATTGATTAAAACTCTGACTGGGAAATGTTAATAAAACGTATTTTTTTCAGAGGGCTATTCACGGGTTGAAAGCATAGACGGATCAAGAAGAACTGCATCCGTCAGGAAATCTACCTCTTCTAATCAATCATCCCAGCCATCCGACCTTACCTCTACCTCTCCTACTCAACCAACCCAATCATCCAATCATCCCTCTACCTCTCCTACTCAACCAACCCAATCATCCAACCTTCCCTCTACCAACCCTACCTCTGATCCACACCCCTCCCCTCCTCCCAACCCTACCTTCCCTTTCCCTTCATCTACTCAGCCCTTGAGCCCCTCCACCTCTGGCCAGTACATAGCTGTGGACCAAGTTGGCTTACTTGTAGCTACTCCCAGAGAACCTGAAACATTTACTCCCAGATCTGAAACATCTACTCCTAGCTTCTCTAAAACCTCTTCTCCTATCTACTCCCAGAGAACCTAAAACATCTACTCCTAGCTACTCCCAGAGAACCTCAAACCTCTACTCCTAGCTAATCCAAGAGAACCTGAAACATCTAATCTTAGCTACTCCCAGAGGACTTGAAACATCTACTCCTAGCTACTCCCAGAGAACCTGAAACATCTACTCCTAGCTACTCTCAGAGAACCTGAAACATATATTCCTAGCTACTCCCAGAGAACCTGAAACATCTACTCCTAGCTACTCTCGGAGAACCTGAAACATATACTCCTAGCTACTCCCAGAGAAACTGAAACATCTACTCCTAGCTACTCCCAGAGAACCTGAAACATATACTCCTAGCTACTCCCAAAGAACCTGAAACATTTACTTCTAGGTACTCCCAAAGAACCTGAAACATCTACTCCTAGCTACTCCCAGAGAACCTGAAACATCTACTCCTAGCTACCCCCAGAGAACCTGAAACATCTACTCCTAGCTACCCCCAGAGAACCAGAAACATCTACACCTAGCTACACTCAGAGAACCTGAAACATCTACTCCTAGCTACTCCCAGAGAACTTGAAACATCTACTCCTAGCTACTCCCAGCTACTCCCAGAGAACCTGAAACATCTACACCTAGCTACTCCCAGAGAACCTGAAACATCTACTCCTACGTACTCCCAGAGGACCTGAAACATCTACTCTTAGCTACTCCCAGAGAACCTGAAACATCTACTCCTAGCTATACCCAGAGAACCTGAAACATCTATTCCTAGCTACTCCCACAGAACCTGAAACATCTACTCCAGGTACTCCCAGAGAACCTAAACCTTAACACTATCCCAATATTCTTCCCAAAGGTACTGAAAACTTGTCACAAACTCTTATTTGCTAATCTGTTATTATTTTGACGTGTAAATCTTTCAAACTTGGGATTTTAGAGGTAACAGAGGTCATAGTTTGACATTTCAATTAATGGTTTATAACGACATATAAATCAGGATTATAAAATTAGATTTTGAGGCAAGTTTTCAATTCCTTTTAACTGGCAAAAAGTAACAGGAAAGTAACTTCTAGACTACATATGGCATTAATTGGTATTGATAAAAATTGATAACAAATTTTTAAACCACACTCTTTGTACTGAACCTGATTTTGTTTTATGGATTATGGATAAAAAAATATTTTTTAATGCTAGACAAGAAGTATATAAAAAATCATTAATATCCTTTGCATTCCTTCACTGTATTCTGTGAATTTAAATCAAAATGTATTGATAACACCTGGATGTGAAGTCAACCTATATGATTCTCCACTAACCAGATATATGACAATATATGAATTACAAGTAGTTGAAACAGTTACGACTAGTTAAACTAAATGATCTGTTCGAAAAAATCTTCAATCTCAATGGCTGAGGAAATATTTCTTTGAGAATCTTTATGATTTTAAAAAGTCAAAGCTTATAATAATAAATAGGAGTTGAACCTTATTTTAACCCAATATATTATATTTTAATATATATTCTAAAGGGCTTATTTTCAGACCTTTAAGTAAATTAACACAATTTTTTATTATATAAGAAGAGCAATCCATAAATACTTTCTTGCCTATTTTCAAGATTCTAAATTTCTTTGTAAACTTATAGTTTAGAAATTATATAATCTTAGATATTTTAAACATACAAAGAAATAATTTTAGTTGTCTGAATTATGAATAAATTTATTTATTTGTTCTTTTTACGTAAATACTTTTTTGTTTTAACTGTTACGACCTATCATTGTAACGTCTCTCGTTTAGAAACTTGTATAATGTTCCTAAATTATTTTCTTCCATCTTATCGTTTTATAAAATACAAATACATAGATCTTGGATATTTATCTTTACCATTTCTTATTCATGTACCAGCAAAACATGTCTCGCAAAAAATGTTTTGGTAAAAATAATCTCAAGTTTTTTTTATTGTGTATGTGATAATAAAGTGCCAAAAAATTGATTTATTTGCGATTCATGAAATTTTATTACAGGATTCACCCACACAGGGTCAAACGACCTAGGGTCAAATGCCATAGGGTCAAACGACATAGGGTTAAACGACAAACGGTTAAAAACGAGTAGCCGCAGCGCTCGACCCCCAGTCTGTCATAGCCGCAGCATTCTCGGCCCAGAAATTGTCCTATTCTAACCTAACCCTGAAATAATACATAAAATATTTTTTCCATTTTGACCCTTTGTCGCGTTTTTTAACCGTTTGTAGTTTGACCGTATGTCGTTTAACCCTAGGTCGGTGAACGCCTCCTTCTCTCTGTTTCTTGTTAAAAAATACGTATTTGCAATGTAATTGTAGAGAAATAAAGTTTTCAAAAAATCTTTTATTTTTGTATTTTCTTTGAATATAGTTGATTTTCATCTCTAGAACGCGTCATTAATTCATTGTTTGAAAGCAGAGAAAGTGAGATACAGGGAATACGTTTTTCACAATTAAAGGGTGATTTTCCCAGCAATGATTTTAACCTTTCAAGTTATCGCGCATAAAAAGACAAGACTTTTGTTTATTAGTTCTGAAAAACTTGAGCGAAAAACAAGTGTTTTATAGTTCTAAAATTACCATGTCTAGGGCTACACAAAAGCAAAGGCCAAGTCGAGAAGATCTTGAAAATTGATTTAACTTTTGATAGCAGTCTGGACCTTTGTTCTTATAGTTTAGATTCATGTTAATAGTCCAAGTTATGGAGGATACCCTTCATGAAAATCTTTGGCCTCTCATTGACGTCAATAGTATAGATAATGCTGTGAGGTGGTTTAAACAAAAACTTATCTTTAAACTATCATAAAAAAATGTATTCAGCATTAAAAACATTTTTTATTAATATGCTATCTTAATTTCAGAACGGTTTATCAAATATTGAAGAAGAAAACATGTACCAGGAACTATCTTTGTTTTCTTTGATCAACCATCGGCTTTCACTCTTGCGTCGATCCGACCCCACTTTATGTAGTACACAGTACACAGTACACAGACTACAGTACACAGACTACAGTACACAGACTCACAGTACACAGTACACAGACTCACAGTACTCAGACTACAGTACACAGACTCACAGTAAACAGTACACAGTACAAAGTTCACAAAGGAGAACACAGACAAGCTAGAAACGTGCCCAATGATGTATAATTTTGGTTAAAAGACAAACACGATCTGATATTACAGGAATACCCACAAAGTATAAGACTGGATAGACGACCTGAATATCATAAAATGTTATCATTAAAAGTTAAATAAAGTCTTTTGCTTTGAATTTAGTGTTTTAATGGCCTATTCATTAACATGGAAACGAAAGAAACCAGTTCAGAGCTGCAAAGTATAAGGAAATAGCTAGTATAAATTCTGTACAGCCGTCTATGAAGTCTCATCTTTTGTGGGTAAACCTGTATAAGAATTCCACTGTCCAGTTTTATCTGCATCTCCGAAAGATCCCTCTTCACCTAAATATTTGCAGAAATATAAACAAATTTCTAAATTTTCTCTAGGCTAGCATTTAACAGAAATATTGCTTGGATCAATCAGCCCATATTATAGGATGCATCAACTCTATAGAATATTTAAGTTCTAAAATGATTTTGTTGAAATGTGAAAGATTGCCATGGAAAAAAATACATGCTTTGAGTTCTAAAAAAATTTGATTTATTTTTCTCATGATTAATAATAACATGTCAACATTAAATATAATTGCAGAGAAAAAAGAATATTTCTTAAAAGTTTCCTCACCCTTCATGAGAGTGTGCATGTTTATACTGCAGTTAGGTATAGGAGATTTAGTATACCTTGCAGTTAGGTATAGGAGATTTAGTATACCTTGCAGTTAGGTATAGGAGATTTAGTATACCTTGCAGTTAGGTATAGGAGATTTAGTATACCTTGCAGTTAGGTATAGGAGATTTAGTATACCTTGCAGTTAGGTATAGGAGATTTAGTATACCTTGCAGTTAGGTATAGGAGATTTAGTATACCTTGCAGTTAGGTATAGGAGATTTAGTATACCTTGCAGTTAGGTATAGGAGATTTAGTATATATACCTTGCAGTTAGGTATAGGAGATTTAGTATATATACCTTGCAGTTAGGTATAGGAGATTTAGTATATAAATACCTTGCAGTTAGGTATAGGAGATTTAGTATATATACCTTGCAGTTAGGTATAGGAGATTTAGTATACCTTGCAGTTAGTCGGGAACTTTTCCTTTTTGAATTAAACTGAGCTTGTTAGAAGAGTTTGAGTGATAGCTCACATACTTTATAATACAGAACAAATTCCCAAATGTTTAAAATAATCCAACTTAACCTTTGGTGCCGGGACTTTTCGTTGTAATTTGATGTAAACCTCCATTAAATAACAACGGTATCCATGAAATCTTAATCTGATTAGTAATGTGGAAGGTAACTTCATTTTTCTTTCTTGAAAAGTGCAGTTTAAAGGGAGTGACTGGCTATGTAAGGTAGTTGAACTGAGTATGCAGTGTTGTGGAAAACTTCTTTCGGATTAATCTGAGACATATAAAACTTTTTAAAGATCTGTAAATCCTGCTTTTGAGCGCAAATTCGACGTTCAAAACTTCTACTTTGGGGGTGGATACGTTTTCAGAATTAGTTTTTTAAATTATTAAATAACGACAACGAAAAATGAAGTAAAAATTATACAGTAATCTAATTAGATGGTTAGGAACATATTTCTCAAAAGAAATTTGTCAATAAATCAATGCTAAAATCGATTATTCCGTTTTCATTATTATATTGAATTTCTTGTTTTCTTTGAATTTATTCGCAGATTTCTTAAAATTCTTCCAATGTCGTCTTTTCAATAATAATTCTAGAACATCTGCAAAAACCTTTGTTAATAATGAAAAACCAGAATAATGAGAAAATAGAAACTAATAATTAAACAAGATTACTTATTTTCGCTGATAAGATTAATTTTTTTTCTCAACATATTCCTATACATGACGTCTGTAGTTTATTGTAGAACTTATTTACATTTTATGTCGTCGTTATTTAATAATTTAAAAAAACTAATTCTGAAAACGTATCCGCCCCAGAAGTAGGAACTTTGAACGTCGAATTTGCGCTCAAACTCAGGATTCACAGATCTTTAAAAAGTACTATATGTCTCAAATGAATCCGAAAAAAGTTTTCCACAACACTGCATCCTCAGTTCAACTACCTTACATAGCCGGTCACTCCCTTTAATTCTGAAAATTTCTCTATTGTTTCTCAGCAAGAAAGTCACTTTTGCAGAGAAACAACAAATAAAGTTTTCAGCAATAAAAACATGGATAAAGCATACTGTTGTAAATCTGATATTCCGTTCACTTAACTAATAATTATCAGAAAACAAATCTATGTTAGAATTATAATTATAATCATTTTTCATTTAAAGAAAATTTCAAACACCCGCCTAAAAAATAAGAAGTGTTTTCCCCTTGCAACAGATTTTCAAGTTGATGTTAAGAGTTTTTTGCAAAAAATAATTATTAACTCACGTTATTGTTACAATTCAACAAATAGCAAAGTTTAAAAATATGAAAACTATGAAGGATTTAAATTGGTTTTTTTACTTGGAGAAACATGTACTTCTCCGTATATATTTTTGCTCTAAACACTACAAACAAGGATTGGTCTGGCATTCGTTTTTTACAATACTTTGGAGTAATAAGTTAAGTTAAAGGAACAGAAAGAACATGCATTGTTTGAAACCACCTTTTAATTGTATAAAATCAATATTTCAAGAATATCAGAAACGCTTTATAATCTAACAAACAGAGATTTAAAAAAGGAAGGGGAAAAAGTTGTAAGATGAGAAAAGTTTAATGAAAAAATCTTAAGCCTACAAAGCCAGAAAAATTCAAATAGTACAAAAGTCCAAGTCACCTCAAACTTTCAAAACCTTCACTACTAAAGTTCATCCACCCCCCCCCTCTCCACCCAACCAACATTTAGAAAAAAGATCCAAAGAAAAAGGTAGGAATCGTTAAAATTTCATAAAGATATCACTCTGCAGCCTTTTGAAAGAGGGAATAGTTCCAATCTCTAAAAACAGCCCAAATTGCAGAAGTTGATAATGCTGCTCTTTTTTCTTTTGCTGCTGCTAGGTGGAAGCTGCTCAGCTGCTCTAGATTTAACGAGCATCATTCAAACCATTGAGAGAGAGGGAAACAAGGTTTTTGGACATTATTTTAGAGCTTAAAATATATAATCTATATACTGCAAGGGAAATAATTTTTCAAAGACCTTCAAGTGTTATTCACATTGATAACCCTTTAAACCTTTAAATATAAATATAAACATTCACATTAGAATTTTTTTTTAAATCACGTTGGGCATTAAATACTCAAGATTTTCCAGAAATAAATGTAACTTGTTGAGTTCACGAGGGTATACTCCAATTTTAGGGCTTTTTACACAGTATTTAAGAGACATATAAACTGAGTTCTCTGTCCTAGATATTTACTCAAAAGTTTGAATAAATGATTTTCTAAAAAACTTTAACTAAAAAATTAAACCGATTAATTAACTTCGTTAACTTTTTTTTATTCATCTCCCGGATTTTTTGATTGTTGGTGAAATAAGAACTTCACCACGAATTTTTTTACAAAGATTTCAAGTTTGTATTGTTCAAGTGTATCCTGTGTAGGTTGGAGAACATCTAAGCCGGATATCCTCCTGTCCTTCCGAATATATCCTTCAGAAATTAGAATCTTTAGAGGTTAGTATTTAGAGCATTAAAAAAAAAAGTTTTTTTTAAAATGGAAGATAAACCTCTGAGGCCAAATTTTACAAATTTTAGCCGCTGCTTGAGACGCACGCGGCTCAAATATGATTGGTTCCACTTAAAATTGATCTCAATGTTAAGATTTAAGCCGGCGCTCAATTGAAACCGGTTATAGGCGGATTTGAGATGCTGCTCAAATTTTGGATGTTTTTTAGTATCCAATAAATGTGAAAACGGCTGAATCCATCAGGCAAAATTTTTTTGTGGGGCCTCAAATGGCCCAAAGAAAGTTTATGGATGGTCCGAATTAAAAGTATGTATTAATTAAGCTCTTGTCACTCTTCTTTTTAAACATTAAACCTTTAAAAATTTAATACTAATTATCGTTAACTTGACATTAAATCTTTAACTTGACATTTCATCAATAACTTGACAGTCATTAAATCGTTAATTCAACATTAAACCTTGGACTATACACAAAATCTTAATTAATATAAAATTTATGATTCATCATTATTCATTAACTCGTCATTTTACCTTAAAAATTTGATTTAACTTAAAACACCGATTGATTAAAAACAAAAATATATTTATTTATGATATAGACTAGAGATTAAAAATTAAACAAGGTGTACGTTTGATCACAGTTAAATGGTTTATTTAAAAAAATTGGATATAGTTCATATTTCGATTAAATAAACATGCATTGACTTTTTAGAAAACTATTTGAGGATATTCTAATAGACTGCATTTTGTTTAAGCTAAAAGGAAAAATGTACTTACTTCAAAAACTTGAAGAAAGTAAACAAAATCAATGGAACTTTAAACTTTGTTTTTTTGAAATATTTTTAATTCATCTTTTTCATCATAAGGTTTATTTCAGCATAACATTTTTCAAAATAAGGGGGAGGGAAGGAAGTTAAAACGAGTTTGAACTGTGTACAGGAAGGATTGTATACATGAATTACATGATAACACACTTATCTCCCTCGGCCTGCCTAGCGGCTCGAACACCACTGCCTGCATCCCCAGAGAACTGCCTGAAAACATAAGAACTGTAAATATTCGGGAGAAAAAAATTATGGTTTACTTCTCAACAACATCCACACAAAATTTACTAATATAAACTAGAACAGAATTCAAATTTTAATTTTTACTTGTATCTGTTTTTTTTTTAAATCAAGAAGAATTTAAAATGGTAGATACTGATAATATTTCTTCTCTTGGAGATATTGTTTAAAATAACTATAATAATTTGTTAAACTTACAGCCTGGATCCTGAAACTTGTTTCTCCCAGGTAGTTTCACTAGCAGCAATCTCCTCACCCTCCTTGTTCACTTACACATTATTCACCTCATCCACTCCAATCTTCCAGGCTCCAGACTTCATCACCAGCTGCCCAGATCCTTCACACAACAATTTACAATCAATCAATTCTTCAGTCCACCAATTTACCATGCATTCCATCCATTCCATCAGCCAGCCAGCCAGCCAAACCACAATCTAACTACCATCAACCAAAGTACAATCAACAACCCAATCCTACGGATAAAGTAAAAACCGAATCCGATAATTTTTAACCATAAGTCCAATGAATATACATAATCAATCCTTAACTTGATAAAAAAAATCATCTCTAATAATTGTTTAGATAGTAAACGGATCTACTATTAAACAAGGAGCTGATTAACAGGATGTATGGGGTACAAAGTTTCATGATAAGTTCACAAGATATTTTATTCCTCCATAAACTGAGTACGAGGATTGGGTTTAAGAATACTAACCAACATCATGGTCTACCCCGCTATCTGAGCTCCAGACCGTGATAGCTCCTCCTGGAGCAACCTTGTGGTTCGTGGTAAACTTGAATGTGGATTCTACTCCAGCACTCTGGCACTTGAGAATATGTCCAGCTAGGGTCTTCTCTTCATCCCCAGTATTAGTGATCTAGATAATATTAATACTTATTTACATCACTTTCTGCCCTGAAACTATAAATATATTACCGTGATACAGTTTCTAGACTCTTCTAGGGGTTCGATGAGGAATACAATACATTATCTATATTAAAGGGACTAAAAATCAAATTTTAAATGACTCCATTTTTAAAGTTCCATGTCCGCCTCACACGGTTAACCATAACCCTCATAAATTTAAGGTTACTGGCAGTGCTTAATATCAATTTAATTTTAATGCAGATCCGAATACGGTTCCTGGATCCGCACTGGAAAAAAATGGACACGGATCCAAATCCGGATCCGAATCTAGGTCATTTCTTTAAGATTTACTGAATAATTTTCAAATTTTTTGTTTTATTTTTTCGCTTATTTTTAATCTAAAACTTATTTAACCAACCATTAAGAAATGAGGAAATTTTTATAATCTCTCTTTTTTCAAAAGTTCAGATTTGGGTTTTAGGAGTAAAAAGTTTTTTTTTGCAGTTTTTGGTTGATATTTTACCTTTTTGGATCCGGATCCGGATCCAGGAAGCCAAAATCTTACGAATCCAACGGATCTGGATCCTAAGCACTGGTTACTGGAAATTACAAAAGCAGTCCCTTTAAGTCGAGTCAGCAGCAATTTTCTTAAAATAAAACCAATTACTACGCCTTTAAAAAAAATCCAATCCTCCTCATTGAACTTCAACACATAATTCTTAATTTTTGTTTTGAAAAAAATTATCTTAATAAATAGCAACTAGCAAGTATTGCCAAGTTTTCTCCGATACTTGAAAATCTTTCTCCAGTTTCATGACTTCTCCAAGTTTTAACCCTGTTTTCATTTCTTGTTCTTTGCGACTTAATCGAATCGAATTAAGTACAAGTATCCAGAAAGGGGGAGGAACTGTGCTTAAAAATATAAGGGACTTGCTGAATTTTATTAATACAACTTCTCACCAATATAACTCTCTTCAATATCCAACCTTTTCCTCTTAATTCCTCTGCCTGGTTTTCTATTATCCGGAGATAAACCCAACCTAGTCTCCTCTCCGTCAAGAAGCTTCTTGTAGGCAGCTATCTCCATATCCAGAGCTATCTTGATCTCCAGGAGCTCTTGGTACTCCTTAGTCAAGTTGTTCAACTGTTCGTTGAGATAATCAATCTCATGATCCTTCCTGGCCATATCAGCACGATTTGCTCTACCCAGATCATCTATCTGATCCGTCAACTCCTTGATCCTACGGTTTAGAGCAGAATTGGTGGACTCAAGTTCACTCACTCTGCTCGTCATTCCTTCAACCTTGGTCTGCATCTCCTTAATCTCCTGTATA